GCCCGCCCGCTCGGCGAAACGACAAACGCCAGGTTTGGAATGCAGCGAAACGCGATGCTCTCTTCGAGTCGTCCTTGTCGCCGCCTCGCCGTTCCGCTGGGCCCGGCTAGTGTAGCCCGCGCATGTGCGAGATCGACAACGCATTTTGGACCGCGATCAACCCTTTTTTTCCATTTGCGAATCACAAGCTCTCACTTGGGTCCCTCCGTCTTGAATTTGAACCAGTGCTTTTGGTCATGCTCACTCGGGCCTGAGTGCATGTCCGTTCTCTGCAGGGACGAGCTGGCGTCGGGGCTGTAAATGCAGCATTGCCTGGCCGATCGGACGGCAAGAACCGAAAAATTGGGGGAAGCCAAATGCGAAAAAAAAAACACACACTCACCGGCACGCACCGCCGCAAAAAAGGGTGTTGGACTCTCATTGTCGCCACTTTTGGCATTTCGGCTCGGAGCGTTGACAGAGCCTTAGCCGAGGGAGCGCTCCATACGCGTCGCCACGCTGCTCACGCCGCAAGGGCACCGAATCGCTTCGGGTGCACTTCATCGCTTGTAGTCGAGCAAAGACGGAATGTTCAGAGCCGGAGGGGGCGCCGAAGCAGCCTCTGCGACGGCTCCAGGCTGCATCCGTTCGAAATTTCCTGCCTTTGCGTGAGCGCTGCTTGTCAATCGCGCGCGTCCACACGCGCGCGCGTGCGATACGCCGGAATCCATTCGCCCGAGCAGCGAGAGCGCTTTCAAACAGATCGCCATCGTGCATGCTGCATACGTACCGTCCACGGACATGTCACTTGTCCCTGTAGCCCTGCCGACCCAAAGCTGCGAACCATCTTTGCCTCATGTTTGCCAAAATGCCGAACGACGGCCAGCTCGAGCGTCGGGAGTCGGGATCCACGAGCGAGACGATGTCTTGCTTTGTCATGCTGACACGCTACCATCTGCGCTTCCAACCCTGAACGGAGCGACGGCCTAACACTGGGAAGGATTTGCAAAAACGCGCCGACCGTGGAAGATCGAAGAAGGGGCGCGCGCGCTTTTGTTGCTCTGGCTCAGCCGGGTCACTCCAATTTCCGCAGCCGCTGCCTCTCTCTGTCCCTTTGGCTGATGAGAAAGGGTGTTGCACTGACCCAGACGGACGCGAGGGTGCGGCGTGCGGCGGCGGCGGCGGCCAATTCGTGCACTTTTTGAGAAGAATGCGCGCCGGTCGAGAAAGCGCACCGCCCCCGCTCGCCGCGAGCGATTTGGACTTTGAGATCGAGGTGTCGGCATCCTCACTCGCAACGCCCAACTATTCTCTCCTTGTTCGCCGGTCTGGATAGCAGCAACGTCATGGCGGAACCACAGATCGCATATGCGCAGGACGAGTACGGCCGACCGTTCATCGTGGTGCGCGAGCAGGGCAAGAAGACGCGCGCCAACGGCATCCAGGCGATCAAGAACCACATTGCGGCGGCCAAGACGGTGGCCAACATCCTCAAGACCTCGCTCGGCCCGCGCGGCCTCGACAAGATCCTCATCAGCCCCGACGGCGACATCCAGGTCACCAACGATGGCGCCACCATCATGAACAACATGGAGCTCGACCACCAGGTCGCCAAGCTGCTCGTCGAGCTCAGCAAGAGCCAGGACGACGAGATCGGCGACGGCACCACCGGCGTCGTCGTGCTCGCAGGCGCACTCCTCGAGCAGTCCGAGGCGCTCCTCGACCGCGGCATCCACCCCATCCGCATCGCCGACGGCTTTGAGCGCGCATGCAACCTCGCCGTCCAGGAACTCGAAAAGGTGGCCGACACGGTCGACTTTGACCGCGACAACATCACCGAGCTCATGAAGGTCGCCAAGACCTGCCTCGGCAGCAAGATCGTCAGCAAGGCCTCGGACCAGTTTGCCAAGATCGCCGTCGACTCGGTGCTCTCGGTGGCGGACCTGCAGCGTCGCGACGTCGACTTTGAGCTCATCAAGGTGGACGGCAAGGTCGGAGGCGGACTCGAGGACACGCAGCTGGTGCAGGGCGTGGTGATCGACAAGGACATGTCGCATCCGCAGATGCCGCGCGTCGTCAAGGACGCCAAGATCGCCATCCTCACGTGTCCCTTTGAACCGCCGCGCCCCAAGACCAAGCACAAGCTCGACATCACCTCGGTCGAGGAGTACCGCAAGCTGCAGGACTACGAGCGCAACAAGTTCGAGGAGATGATCAAGCGCGTCAAGGACTGCGGCGCCAACCTGGTGGTGTGCCAGTGGGGATTCGACGACGAGGCGAACCATCTGCTGCTGCAGCACGAGCTGCCGGCGGTGCGCTGGGTGGGTGGGCCGGAGCTCGAGCTCATCGCGATTGCCACCAACGGCCGCATCGTGCCGCGCTTTGAGGATCTGTCGCCCGAGAAGCTCGGCCGGGCCGGCGTGGTGCGCGAGGTGGGCTTCGGCACGACACGCGACCGCATGCTCATCATCGAGGAGTGCGCCAACACGCGCGCCGTCACCGTCTTTGTCCGCGGCTCGAACAAGATGATCATCGACGAGGCGAAGCGTGCGTTGCACGATGCCATCTGCGTGGTGCGCAACCTTGTTGTGGACAACCGCGTAGTGTACGGTGGAGGTGCGGCCGAGATCTGTGCGAGCGTGGCGATTTCCAAGGCGGCCGACGAGATTGCGTCGCTGGAGCAGTACGCGATGCGCGCGTTTGCATCGGCGCTCGACGCGATCCCGCTGGCGCTGGCCGAGAACTCGGGCTACTCGCCCATCGAGACGCTCGCCGAGGTCAAGAGCAGACAGGTCACCGAGGGCAACCCCAAGCTCGGCATCGACTGCATGGGCGCGGGCGACAACGACATGAAGAACTGCCGCGTCTTTGATCCGCTCGTGTCCAAGCGCCAGCAGCTGCTGCTCGCTACGCAGCTCGTCCGCGCCGTGCTCAAGATCGACGACGTGATCGAACAGCACAACATCGAGTAGACCGCACACCCGAACGCACGCAAAAAAAAAACCCATTCATACGCAGCAGCAGATCGAGAGGAAAGTGAGATTCAGGCTGGCGCATGCAGAGAGGAAGTCCAGAGCTGCAGGCGGTACAGAGCCACACCGAGCGGTATGGTGACTGGCGATCTGCGCACCGCCAATGTGTTTGTATCTGACGTGTGTGCGATCTTGGCCAAGAGATGTTTGAATTCTGCTTTGTGCGATTCGTGGGTGAAGTCGGGGTGGAAGACGGGATGTGTTGCGTGGCTTGCATGGTGGGAGATTTCGAACGCCGTCTGGTGCGCCTCTTTGGTGGTGAAGGGACCGTTTCTGCCGTGCGCAAAGTGGCTCTCGAGCAATTGGAGTTCCTGAACCACGCGCTCCTCGAGCTGTTTGCCCACCAGCTCGCGCGTGCTTGGCAACATGAGCGCCGCATTGCTCACCATCTTGTACACGCCTCTCTTGCGCGCATGTTCGAGGATGCCTGCGTCGACACTGATCCAGCACCCCTTTCCCTTGCGTGGCTGCTTGAACTTTGGGTGTAAGATGTGATCGGGCATCATGATCTCTGTGCTGTTGGACTTGGCGCTCTCGGGCGCCGGTGGGAGGCGCAGCGGTTTGAGCTGCACCATGAGTGCGGTGGGGAGAACCTTGGTGGTGACGATGCACTTGCGCAGGGGTGTAGCGAGCATCGCTAGGTGCAGCGATCCTGCCCAGCGTCGCTCGAGTGCTGCCAGGTGCGTGCGCGCCGACGCGCAAAGTGGCACTGCCATCGTCGATCAGCGACACGAGATGGTGTTCAGCCAAGAACCAACTTGGACCCTTGGCGGCGAATCCAAATCACCCGATCCACCACCTCCACACCCGATGCACGCGCTCCGACTCCCGAACCTCCAAATTTCCTACCCTCGGCGCAGAAAGTGTGGCGAAAGCACCTTTCCACCGCCTTCACCACCCTTCCCTCCTCCACGCCTACTTGAACCTCTTCTCTCCCGCCGACATCCTCCCCTTCTCGCGTCCAATACCATCACTCCTTCACTTTGTCACCAATGTCCAACGAAAAGAACGCACAGGAGCTTCTCAAATGGGGTCTTGCCAACAGCACTACCGCTGCCGGTCCCTCGGTCGAGCAGATCTCGGCCGACATTGAATCCGGTCGTCGCCCGGATTTGGCAGACCCGCATCTGTACGAAGCGATCATGGGCAAGAGCGAGGCCCAGATGATGGTCGAACAGCTCTCGGTCGCCGTTGACGAATCGCGCTCCGTAGAGGACCGCTGCACGGCGCTGGACAACTTGGAGATGCTCATCGAGACGATCGACAATGCCAACAACATGACGAGCATGAACATGTGGCCTAGCATCATTGGGCTCATGGCATCGTCGGAGCCGGAGGTTCAGACTGCTGCGGCGTGGATTTTGGGTACGGCGGTGCAGAATAACGACAAGGCGCAGGTGGCTGTACTGCCGCACGAGGCGGTGAGGGCCGTCGTGGATCTTTTCCAGAGCGCGCATGACAAGGTCAGGGCCAAGGCAATGTACGCCTTGTCTGGACTGATCAAGCACAATCCAGCTGCCATGGATCAGTTCGATAAGCTTGATGGCTGGAAAGTTCTGCGCTCCGCTCTTGTCGATCCGACGATTGGCATCCGAAGGAAGGCCGCCTTCCTACTCAACACGCTCCTCTTGCAGGATCCAAACTCCTTCACCACCCCGGTCCCTTCCGCAGCTCCAAGTACCGCAACCGCCGTGGCACCCACAGCTTCCGCCGGTACGGTACCGCTCGAGCTCGGACCAGAGACAATGCGCACGTCCGTACCGCATCCCAACGTTGCACGTGCCCTCGTCGAGTCGGGCATCCTCTCTACCCTCCTCTCCTCCCTCCTACCCCCCGGTACCCACGGCATAGACGATGCAGACCTCCCGCCCCCCTCCGGCTCAGATGGCGATCAGGACCCCCGCTCCGACCTCGACTTTGCCGAAAAGGCCGCCGCCGCCACTCTCGCTTTCGCCACAAAACTCCCCGACATCCCATCCAAAGCTCACCTCGACCAAAAGACAAAGTCCCTCTTCAAAGCTCTTCTTAACGAGCTCCACGGCCCCCCCTTCGACACCAGCACAGCCGCAAAGTCGCGTGCCGACGAACTCGCACTCGACTCTCAACAGCTCCACACCCTCACCGCCACCATCAACGCCCTCTGACCAATGCTCGCAATCTCATAGACTCGTCTCCAACCTGACCTCCACGACTGAATGTGCAATGCTGTGTTTGTGCTGCAATGCTGTGGCCGTGATGCAATGCTGTGGCTGTGATGCAATGCTACGATTGTGCTGAGATCAAGGCCGGCGCTCGCTCAGAAATCGAAGCTCCACGGCGGATACAGCGCATTGGGCTCGACTGTCGTCGAGCTGGCCGTGGTGCTGCCAAAGGGGAGCGCGGGCAGGCTGACGCCGTCGAATGCATCCGCACGGCACAGCGGACACGTCTTGGCCGTCTTGAACCACGTCCTGATGCAGTGCGCGTGGAAGGCGTGGTGGCACGTGTTGATGCTCATCAGCACGTCCGCATCCGCATAGTCGTCGCGGCAGATCGGGCACATGGTGTCCCTGCCCGCCGGTGGCGGCGCCGCCTTTTGCTTGCCCTTGCCCTTGGCACACACGGCGTCGTCGCGCGGCGCACACGAGCCGCCGTCCCACTTTGCATACTCGCACGTGGGCAGCGCGTCGACGAGGCTGGCGGGCACGCACACTTCGGCGGCGCCCAGCCGTTCGCTGAGCTGCATGAGCGCCTCGTACGAGTTGAGCTCCGCCCAGTCCTCGTCGGCGATAAAGTTGCGCGCGTCCAGCGCGAGGTGGGAGCCGTGGTGGCCAAACACCATCGAAGAAGACGCCGCGGACAGTCCGAGCTGCAGCGGACGCAAGTGCGTATTCCAAGTCTCGGACTCGATCGCCATGCGTAGCGACGCAGCGTGCACGTCGCCCGCCATCCACTCGTCGAGCATGCTGTCGTGGCTCATGAGGCGGCCGAGGTACTCGAGTGCCGACTCGTCGGCGTTTCGTGCGTGCCGCGTCCAGGCTGGAGGCGCGCCTCGCGATGCGGGCAGTGGCGCCGTCGGCCGCGAGTCGGAGCCGGTGCTTTGAAACAGGGACTCGTAGCGCGATGGCGCGCCTGTCTGGCGTTCCGAAGCTTGCGAAGGCGTCCGCAGCCCGAAATGGGTGCTCCTCCATGGCAGAGGCTCTCGCTCCGAAGATGCTGGTTCGCGCAGCCGGCGTAAGGAGTCGGATGTTTCGCGTCGCTGACTTGCGTTTCGCGATGGCTGTAGGCCATCGTGCATGCTGCCTGTGGCGGCATCCGGGCGACTGTGATGAGGGTTCACATTGCGCCGATGCAATGCAGAAAATCCCCGGACGTCATGGCTTTCTCGGCCCAGGGCTTCGTGGTCGGTGGCGCCGAATCGAACATGAGCACGTGGACGATCGTCGTGCCATTGGTAGGGCGTGTATCGTTCAGAGATTGAAGGCACGCGGAGAGACGATGGCTGCGACGCATAGCGATGTGCGCTTGCCAAGAGGCTGAGTTGATCACTGGATGTATCTGAATGAGCCGAGACTTGGGACTGTGCGCGGTTGAAGATGGCGTTAGATGCGGGTGTGTTGGAGACATGGCGGTCGTCGTCCTGGCGGCCAGGAGCGAGTTGAGTCGATGCTCTGCGACGAGATGTGATTGTGGTGAGATGGCGAAGGGGGGGTGGAGCGGGAGCTTCGTGATCTGCGTCGGAGGCGAAGGAGATGGCAAGCGGGGACGCGGCGCGCACGTGAGGCAACTGGGGAGGATTGCGATGCGCGTGATCGTTGGGCTCGACGAGAGGGAGTGGGCGATGGTGGGCAAAGGCTCGCTGAGATGCCGCAAGGTCGTTTTGCCGGCTGTAGGGAGGGAGAGCTGACAGTTGAGCTTGCCCTTCATGTCTAGGCATGCTGGAAGAGCCGAGAAGCGAGTCGTGACGAGCGGCGAGCGCATCGAACTGGTGCGTCGGCGTATCTGGGTTTGTGGAAGAGGGGTCGCGCGAGTAGAAGCCTCGCCGACGACGCAATGTGCCGAGGGAGCGCTGTGCTCTTGACTCTGCGAAGTGGGCAGATCGCAGCTCCAGCTGGTCACGCCGAGACGGATGGGACGATGAAAGGTCGTCGATGGGCTCTGGAGACTCGCACAGGGCGGCGACGGCGTTGGAAGAGCGAACATCGGTGGTGGTGCCGCTGTTGACGAGCAACGAGGGGCGCCGAGGACGGATGGCGGCGCTGGAATGAGGCTCCAAGGCAGGGCTGTGTGCGCGCGCGCTTGGGCGTAGCTGTGGAGTCGGTGGGTTCGGAAGGAGATGGCGCGAAGTGGTGGGTTGAAGGAGGCTCATGTCGTTCCCATCGGGAATCTCGGAGCGACGCTTCTTGTTGGCCAGGTTGAATCGAGAGCGCAAGGCTGAGGCTGGGGTGGCAGCCTGGCTTGGATCGGGCGATGCTTGGCGGGTTAGGGGAGGAAGATCGCGATGGTGCCTCCTGATGGGGCAGGAGGGGCCTGCGACTGGGCCGAGGGGTATTGCTGGCTGATCTGGAGAGCTGGTAGCCGTGTCCCTGAGGGAACGCTTGTGGGAAGAGGTATCAGAGGACGATCGACAGTGCAGCTCATCCGAGCCATCTTTGGCAGCTTGGATACGGCGAGAGCGGCGGGCTGCCACGGGGACGTCGAAGTAAGGCAAGTAGGGGCTAGATGGGAAGCTTGCGAGACTAGGCTCGAATGCCTGTTGCTCGGCCTCGCCTTTGTGCTTGCCCTTGGCTTGGTAGTCTGCGTCCGCAGGGACACTGTGCGCGACGAGACGGGCGGTGTTGGCACGTTGGCTCGTGCTTGCGCCTGCCGAGGAGCTGCCCGAATGTAGGCAGTCGTGTGTGGGATCGAGTGCCCTTGCTTTGCCCTTATCGCGGTGCGGGCGGGAAGAACAGCCGAGGTCCATGGCGGACATTGCGAGATAGAGGGGGGCCAGACGGGCCGCAGTGATAGCGGGCTCGTATTGGTATGATCGGTTGGTGGGGTCTGTTATCGAAGGTACATGCGAGTTGGGCTGGAAGCGAGCAGGGCGATGAGAAGGGGGAGGAGGATGAGGAGGAGGAGGAGGA